AGGAAATTACCAACAGGTGAAAAGACAACCCACAGAATGGAAAAAATTTTAACCAGTTGTTCATCAGCAAAGACTAATGTCTAAAACATATAAATGTAAAAAAAAATCAGACTTCTTAAATTCAAAGATTCAATTTAAAAATGGTCATCTGAAATGATTACACACTTCTCGGCTGAAGAAATATAAATGGCAAGTAGGTATATGAAAAAATGTTCAACATCACTGGTCACTCAAGAGATGCAGATTATAACAATGCTGTGATTTCATCTCACTCCAGAAATAATGGCTATTATCAAAGCATCAATCATTAACAAATGCTGGAGGGGCTGTAGAGGAAAAAGGAACCCTTTGCCACTGTTGGTGGAAATGTAGACTGGTGCAAGCACTGTGGAAATCAGTGCAGAGATTCCTCAAGAAACTAGGATTAGAGGTTCCATTTGACCCAGCCATTCTCTTTCTATGTTTCTTCCCAGTAGAATTAAAAGCATCACACCACAGAGATATATGCACACCTGTGTTTATAGTGGTATAGTTTGTAATAGCTAAATATTCAAAGCAACCCACATGCCCTTCAACTTATGAATAGATAAAAAAGATTTTTTATATAAATGAAGTATTACTCAGCCATAAAGAAAGATAAAATTGAGACATTTATAGCTAAATGAATGGACTGTAAGGCATAATAAGTGAAATAAATCATATACATGTGCAAATATTGCATTATCTCTCTGGTGTGAGATACTGAGAATGTAAATGAGAACCAAAATGTACAGTAGATATTATAAAATGGGAAGAAACTGTTCAAAGGGAAAAGGAAACTAGGGAGGTGGAAGGGGAAAGGAAGGAAGGAAAGAAAAAATGAGAATAGAAGATAAAATGAAAATAGCACTTTGTGAATGGGGGGGAGGGAGTTTGAAAGGAAGAAGTGGAAAAAGAAAGAGGAATCAAGGTATATCATGTAGGGCTGGGGATATAGCTCAGTGGCATAAGTGCCTGCCTGGCAAGCACTAGGTCCTGAGTTCGATTCCCAGTACCAAAAAAAAAAAAGATGTATCATGTACAGGCACAAATTCCCTATAATGTATATGATCATCATGTATACTTAAATTGTACCAATAGATATAAATTAAAAAACAAAAATTAAAAAATCCTATGTAACAACCATTGGTGAGGGGGAACCTAGTGTGCTATGTTAAGCTACATCTTTAGATCAACCCCATGGTTTATGTGTAAATTAGAGCAACAGATAAAAAAGGTGAAGAAAAAGATAAGGAAGTATGTATAGGAAAGAGGTGAGAGACGTTAGGGAGAAATAAGAAAAGGATGGAAAGGATAAAGTTATAAGTGGGACATAAGAAAAAAGATAGGGAAATTGTATCCAACTGCCAAACTGATAGTCAAGCATAGTTAGATTACACCAAGATGCAACCTTTGAAGTGACCATATCTGACTTAACTACATAGGATGTTTTACAAGCAGCAGTAGAAAATTGATACACATAGCCATATCCAGAGGGGGCAGTGGTGAAGAGAAGGGAAAGGAAGAGAAGGGAAAGGAAGAGAAGGGAAAGGAAGGGAAGGGAAAGGAAAGGGGAGGGAAAGGAAAGGGGAGGGAAAGGAAAGGGGAGGGAAGGGAAGGGAAGGAAAAGGAAGGGAAGGGAAGGGAAAGGAAGGCAAGGGAAGGGAAGGGAA